CTGTGGGTTTGGGGTCAGGCTGTGGGTTTGGGGTCTGGCTGTGGGTCTGGCTGTGGGTTTGGGGTCTGGCTGTGGGTTTGGGTTCAGCCCCAGCCCGCCGTGCTGCTCACGCTCTGTTCCCCCCCCCCAGGACGCAGTTTTGGCTGCCAGAGCCCGGCTGGCCGCTCACCTCCACGACTGCGAGGAGCAGAAACGACGCACGCGGGAGCAGAAGGAGGCGGCCCTGGAGCGGCTGCAGCAGCTGAAGAATGAGCTGAGCCGGGCCCAGGCCAGAGCCCAGCGCCGCCTGGCTGAGCTCACGGCGCAGAGTGGCGCCGCCCTGAAGGCACTGGGGAAAATCGTGGCGAAGGTGGGATCCCAGCCCGACCCCGCGGAGCCCCACGTGGCTGACGGTGACCTGGGGGGGGTCGCCATCCCCGTCTCCCTGCCCTCGTCCCCGCAGGCTGAGCGCCTTCTGCGCCTGGCTGAGATGTGCCGCAGGATGGAGAGCGAGGAGGAGAAGCTGCTGCCCTTCTACCCGTCCTCGTTGGCAGAAGGAGAGCGGGACGATGCCGAAAGGCTCCTCAGAGAGGCACCCACTGAGCCCCTGGCACGGGTGAGGGGGCAGCACGGGGGGTCCTGGGCGCCGTGGGGGCTGGAGGCAGAGCTGGGGAATCACAGCACGGCTGGGTTGGAAGGGAGCTTGAGGACCACGGAGCCCCGACCCCCCTGTGCCACGCAGGGCCACCAAGCTCCCCGTCCCACAGCAGGGCCCCATCCAGCCTCCAACCCCTCCAGGGATGGACGGGGCATCGCAGCCCCTCTGGCAGCCGTTCAGCCCCTCGCCGCTCTCACAGCGCAGCGCTTCCCCGACACCCGGCCTCCAGCTGCCCTCCCTCAGCCTCGTTTCCCCTCGTCCTGCTCTCATCTCCCCTCGCACGGAGCTGCCTCCCCTCCTGGCTGCGCTCAGCTCACCCCCAGCTCCTCAGCCTGGCTTTGCAGGGCGCTGCTGCAGCCCCTGCTCACCTCCAGCTCCCCTCCAGCAGCTCCCTGCCTTTCTGTCCTGGGGGCTCCAGCCCCGGACGCAGCTGCAGCAGCAGAGCAGAGGGGGCCGATCGCCTCCCTGTCCCTGCTGCCACCCCCCTGCCCAGCCGCGCTGCTCGCCGCCCGCGGCTCCCCGTGCTGCTCAGGAACGAGAGCCCGGAGCCCGGGGGCCTCAGCGGCGCCTCTCCCCCAGACCGCGCAGGATTACGCGGCGCTGGAGCGCTTCTGGCAGCGCTTCAACAAAGTGAAGCTGGAGGAGCTGGCGGCGGAGCGGCAGAGGGCGGCCCTGACCCGCGGCAACCGGCGGCTGCGGGCGCTGCTGCGGCGCTACCTGGACGGGCTGACGGCGAACCCAGCCGCGCCGAGCGAACCCAGCGCACCGCCGGACGCCGGCAGCGGGAGCTGCGCCCTCGGAACGGGCCTGCAGCGCGGCCGGGGCGCACGGCGAGGCGCCGAGGGTGGCGGCGCGGGGCCGGGGGCTGAATGTCGCAGCCGGGAGGTGCCATAAAGGAGCCCCGCTTCCCCACGACGCCTCGGGTCGCATCGCTGCTCGCGCGGAGCCCGGCGCCGCTCCGCTCCGAGCCTTGGGCTCAGCGCCGCACGAAGCACGGAGCCGCACGCGGCGCAGCTGCGGGCGCCGAGCGGAGCTTTATTTCTTTTTGGCTTTGTTCCTCTTCTCCTCCTTCTGCTTCTTTTTGGACGTTTTGGGGCTGCCGGCTTTGCGGTACAGATGGAAGCCGATGAGACCCAGCAGGGCCGGCAGCAGCGCCAGGCACAGCAGCGGGAGCAGCCGGTCCAGCGCCCGCCTCCAGCCTCCGGCACGGGACAGAGCCACCAAGTGCACCTCGAAGCGCAGCACCGCGTCGCCTGCGGGGTGGAGGGGGGGGTTGGAGGGGTTGGGGGGCGCCGGGGGGGCTGGGGGGCGCCGGGGGGCCGCGCTTACCTGGGATGGTGGGGGGAGACCCGCGCCTGCCGTACGCCAGGTGGGGGGGGATGGTGGCTCTGCGCTTCTCGCTGTGGGGCGGAGGTGACGCAGCGGCCATGGGGACAGAGGAGGGGGGACGATGGGGCGCGCGGAGCGTGCTGACCCCGCACCTCCCGGCCCCACACACGGGTCCCAGCCCCATCTGCACCCTGAGCCCACGCGTGTCCGGCATTAAACGGGCTGGGGTGAAACGTGGGGGTCGGCAGCGGGGAGGTCGGAGATTCGGGGTCCTTGAGGTGATTCTGTGATGCTGTGACCCCACGCGAGTCCTGACCCCACACCCACATCCTGACCCCACACGTGTCCTGATCCTCCTGACCCCCCGCTGTCCCAACCCCTGTCCCGACCCCACAGACCCCGATCCTATACACGATCCTGACCCCACACGTCCCAGCACCACAAACCCCCTGACCCCCCACCCCCCGGCCCCCTCTGCCCCTTACCCCACACACATGTCCAGCAGGCTCTGCTCCAGCCCTGTGTGACGGCAGAGAGGTGAGTGGGACGGCAGCCCCCCCGGCCCCCCCAGCGCCCCCCACCCCACACCAGCGCTCACCGGGGATCACCTGCCTCTTGCCCAGCTCCACCTGCAGGGGGTCGCGACTCAGCGACGTGTCGATCACGCGCCCGTCCTCCAGGCTGCCCTATGGGGAGCGGCGCCGTGGGGCCACAGGGCTGCCCTGAGCTGCGGCCTGGGCCGCCCCCAGATTGAACCCAGTGCCGAACTCGTGCTGGTCCCAGTGCCACCCCTGTGCCGTCCCCAGTGCCACCCCATACTGGTCCCAGTGCCACCCCCATATTGACCCCACTGCCACCCTTATGCTGGTCCCAGTGCCATCTATGTACCAGTCCCGGTGCCACCCCCATACTGGTCCCAGTGCC